TAATGTGTGACAGCAGGCAGGTGATACTGGGATGGGACTTTCTGAGCACTGACAAGGCAACAAGGGGAGAGACAACACAGCCCCTTATTGGACTGGGACCCCTTATTAAGACGAAGTCCCCTGAGAGCTGGCACTGTCAGACAAAGAAAATGCTACTTGTCACTTTGCATCTCAGTTCCTAGCCTGCTAGCTAGCCACTGGAGGCAAGTCTGACGACATCCGCCCCTTGGCTGGTGGAAACCAGAAACAGTATTCTCACTGGACAAGCTCTCAGGACACAAAAGGAGATGGAATGAGAGATCTCATCTGTTTTGGTTTTTATTGGGTGACCCACTACAAAGTTTGTCCAGATAGAATCCAGTCTGGGAGATCTGTAAACTCACCGGGCTGTGAGGCTGGCTTGAACAACAGGCTCATAGGACCTAAGCCTTTGTTCTACCCTGTGACACTCCTTATGACAAACAACACAAGGGACAGAGGCAAAGGAACATGATGACCCATCTCTGGGAGGGAAAAGATCAGTGAAAACCAAAAGTACTCAAAACAAAAATCACAAGAGTTGTGATACCCAAAAGACTAGTTCATACAAACGTTTCTTCTGGCTAATGTAAATTTAGAAAGAGAAAAGACAGTAGAGACTAATACTGCTGGGCTTGGTCCCCCACGCAGAGGTCCAGGAGACTGGAAAGGATCCTTACCTTTTGCTGCCTTTGTGAGGCCCCAGGATGTCTCCACTGTAGCCTCCAGGGTGGGCAGAACCTTCCAGCAATGATATCCCATCCCTGTCACCAGAAACCACAGTGGAGGGAGGACTTCCCTTCTACCCTCCTATGTTCAATGGCTAGGTCCACAAAATAAACTGACAACAGGCAGATTAAAAGGAGAAAAGGCATACAAATTTATTAATTTTTTTTTGGTGAAGATTTGCCCTGTGCTAATATCTGTGCCAGTCTTCCTCTATTTTGTACGTGGGTTGCCACCACAGCGTGGCTGACGAGTGGTGTAGGTCTGTGCCCAGGATCCAAACCCATCACCTGGGCCACTGAAGCAGAGTGTGCCAAACTTAACCACTACGCCACAGTGCCAGCCCCCAAATTTATTAATTTTTAATTTCATATGCATGGGGGTACAAGGAAAAAAAGGGAATACTCAAAAAAGCAGAGAGACTTTAGAGCTTATATACCTCTTAATGGGGAAAGAGAGGAGAGGGCAAATTACTTCTATTTATTTATTTATTATTATAATTATTATTGTCATTTTATTTTGTTTGTTTTTTGCTGGGAAAGATTTGCCCTGAGCTAACATCTGTTTCCAATCTTCCTCTCTCTCTCTTTTTTTTTCCTCCCCAAAGGCCCAGTGCATGGTTGTATATTCTAATTGTAAGTCTTTCTAGTTCTATGTGAGCCACTGCCACAGCATGGCAACTGACAGATGAGTGGTGTGGTTCCACGACCAGGAACCGAACCCAGGCCGCTGAAGCGGAGTGTGCTGAACTTTAACTGCTAGGCCATCAGGGCTGGATAAAGAGCAAATTATTTTTGTGAAAGATAAACGAGGCCCTAACAGAAGAGAGAGGCGATTTGATAGTTTGTGTCAATGTTTGGGTGTGGTGTCAACTTATAGTCTCCTCTCCTGGGATAAGAGTCAGTCTTCCCTGGTTGATGAAACTCCTTGGGAGGCAACTTATTACAAATGAGTTCTTTTTTCTGGAAGATTTGTTTTTAGGCACATAGAGAGAGTTCAGAGAAAGCCTGTCACACATTTGTTGATTCTCAAGTATCCTCAGCTCAAAATAATCCATATGCCAGCACCCACTCTCCAAGCACCCTTCCCTCTTCTCCCCTAGGGCGGAGGGGTCACCATCACCCTGAGAAACAAAAATTGAGGAAGTTCATTACCGCTATACCGCCCTACAAGAAATGCTAAAGTGAGTCCTTCAGGTTGAAATGTTAAACAGTAACTTGAAGCCGTACAAAGATACAAAGTCCTCTAACAAAGATAACACATTGGCAAATATGAAAGCCAGTGTTATTGTAATCTTGGTTGGTAACTCCACTTTTAATTTTCTACAGAATTTAAAAGATAAGTGCATATGTTAATTATTTATAAATTATAAATTATGAATGTAATACAACACATTAACAGAATGAAGGAAAAAACACATGATTATCTTAATTGATGCAGAAAAATTATTTGAAAAATTAAACACTCTTTCATGATAAAAACACTCAACAAATTAGGAATAGAAGGAAACTACCTTAATGTAATAAGGCCATATAAGACAGGCCCACAGCTGACATTATACTCAATGGTGAAGGACTGAACGCTTTTCCTCTAAGATCAGGAACACGACAAGGATGCCAGCGTTACCACTTCTTTTTAAGGCAGTATTGGAAGTTCTAGCCAGAGCAATTACACAAGAAGAAGAAATTAAAGGCATCCAAATTGGAAAGGAAGAAGAAGAATTCTTGTGTTTTCAGACAATATGATCTTATATGTAGAAAATCCTCAAGAGTACACAAGCACACAAAGAAACCTGTTAGAACTAATAAACAAGTTCACAAAGTTACAGGATTCAGAATAGACACACAAAAATCAGTTGTGTTTCTATACAACAACAATGAACAAACCAAAAAAGAAATTAAGAAAACAATTTCATTTACAATAGCATCAAAAATAATAAAAAATGGAATAAACTTAACCGAGGAGGTGACAGATTTGTACACTGAAAACTATAAAACATTGCTGAAAGACATTAAAGAAGATACAAATAAATAGAAAGACATCCCATGTGCATGGATTGGAAGACTTAATATTGTTAAGATATCAATATTACCCAAAGCAATCTACAGATTGAATGTAATCCCCATCTAATCCCAACAGTGTTTTTTGCAGAAATAGAAAAATACATCCTAAAATTCATATGGAATCTCAAGGGATCCTGAATAGCCAAAACAATCTTGAAAAAGAAGAACAAAGCTGGAGGACTCACATTTCCTGATTTCAAAACTTGCCATAAAGCTACAGTAATCAAAACAGCATGGTACTGGCATATGAACAGACATAGAGACCAATGGAATAGAATAGAGAGCCTAGAAATAAACCCTCAGGTATTTGGTAAGTTATTTTCAACAGGGGTGCCAAGAGATTGCAATGGGAAAAGGGTGGTCTTTTCAGCAAATGGTGCTAGGAACACTAGATATTCACATGCAAAAAAATGAAATTGATCCCTTACCTTTTTATACCATTTTAATACAAAATTTTACTATTTTAGTACAAAAATTAAAATGAATCAAAGACCTAATGTAAGAGCTAAAACTACACAATTCTTAGAAGAAATCACTGTGATGACAGGAGAAAAATCAAAGTTAAAAAAAATTATTAGAAGAAAACATAGGGGAAAATCTTCATGACATTGGATTTTGTGAGGATTTCACAGATATAACACTAAAAGCACAGGCAACGATAAAAAATAGATAAATTGGACTTTATCAAAATTAAAAACTTTTGTGTATCAAATGACACTATCAACAGAGTGAAAAGGCAACCCACAGAATGAAGAAAATATTCACAAATCATATATATGATAGAGGATTACTATCCATAATATATAAGAACTCCTACAACCCAACGACAAAAAAGCAAACAACCCAATTCAAATATGGGCAAAAGACTTGAACAGCCATTTCTCCAAAGAAGATATACAGATGGCCAATAAACTCATGAAAAGATGCTCATTAGGAAAATGCAAATCAAAACCACAATGAGATACCACCTCACTGCCATTAGGGTGGCTGTTATCTAAAAAAACAACAGAAAATAACAGTGTTGGCAAGGATGCAGAGAAATTGCAACCCTTGTGCATTGCTGACGGGAATGCAAAATGGTACAGCCGATGTAGAGACCCGTATGATGGTTCTTCAAAAAGTTAACTATAGAATTACCACAAGATCCAGCAATTCCACTTCTAGGTATATACCCAAAGGAATCAAAAGCAAGGACTCAAACAGATACCTGCACAAGAATGTTCATAGTAGCATTGGTCACAATAGCCAAAAGGTGGAAGCAAACCAAATGTCCATCAACGGATGACTGAATAAACAACACATGGTACATCCGGACAATAGAATAGTGTTCAGCTTTAAAAGGGAATGAAGTTCTGATACAAGCTGCAACATGCATGAATGTTGAAAACATGCTAAGTGAAATAAGCCAGACACTAAAGGACAAATATGTATGGTTTCCCTTATAAGAGGCATCTAGAACACACAAATTCATCGAGAAAGAAAGTAGGATAGAGGTTACCAGGGGTTGAGGGAAGGAAGGACGGGGAAATATTGTTTAATGGATCCAGAGTTTCTGTTTGGGATGATGGAATAGTTCTGGGAATGGATAGCGGTAATGGTTGCACAGCATTGTGAACATACTTTACGTCGCTAAATTGCACACTTAAAAAGGGTTGAAATGGTAAATGTGGTTGTGTATATTTTACCATAATAATAATAATAAAAATAATAATAATAAACACTAAGAACAAGTGAAAAAAAAAAGAAATAATTTGTAAGGGAGGACTGAAGAGCAAGGTCATGTAAGGCCATTGTAAGGGCTTTGACTTGTACTCTGCCTGAGCAGAAAATCTGTAGGTCAAGTTTTTCTGAAAAACCGTGTTATTGACAAAACTCCTCGTGATTGGTATTATCAGATCAGGCGCCCCCTGCAGCTGAGTTCAGCGACCCAAACAAAGGGCGTCTGTGGGCGCCCTTTGCCCAGCCCTGTGGGGTGAGCGGAGATAAGACCGTCAGGTCTGCAGAGGTACCTTGGTATTATGCCCAGATGCGGCCTAATTTGATGATAAGGGGCGATGCTAGGGCTGATGGGCGTGGCTCGTCGCTTAGAATAAAGCAGGGGGCGTGGCTAGAGTGAGGGGCGGGACCGAATGCTTGACTGGCAGTGGGGGCGGGGCTATGCCGAGTTGGCAGGCCAGGGTTGAAATAGCTGCTCCGGAAGACAGCTTCCTAGTTTTGACCTTGGGTCTGGTGACCTGTTGGTGCAGGCTGCGATGGAGTCGGAGTGGGACCCTCTGAGGACGCTGGGGGTGGTTACCGCCGTGTGCCTGCTGCTGTGGGCGACTTGGGTGGTGGGCCACACAGTGTACGTCTACCTGCTGCCCCAGGCACGCCGGGGCGCCCCCTGGCTCCGGGCGCATGGAGCCTGGGCAGGTGAGGCGCAATGGCTCTGCGCCAGGTGGGTAGGGGTGGGGGCCGCAGGAATGAGACAGACGACAGGTGAGGACCCCCAATCAGGGCAGAGGCGGGGGCACTCCTGGAAGCAAGGCATGTGAAGGCTGCAGTGACCAGGACAAGGGGGCACCCAGAAAAGGCACAAGAAGGGCCAGGAGGGAGTGGAGGACCTGGCAGGGGGAAGGATCTGGGGAAGGCTGAGGGTGGGCTGGGGCAAAGTCTCAGGCTGCCTCCTCCTGCCCCTCCTCCTCTCGTCTGTAGTGGTGACAGGTGCCACCAGCGGCATCGGCAGGGCCTACGCACACGAGGTGAGTCACGAGATCTTGGAGCCTACGGGGTGAGGGGAGCTTCTGTCTGTTGGCCTGCTGTCAGCTTCCCCTGCTAGACTGAAAATTGCATGCTTTATCTGGTTCCCTCGGATGTCCTCTCCTCCAGGAAGCCTTCCCTCTGGTCCCCAGACTGGGGGCAGCTGTTTACAATGGGCTTCTACCGCCCCTCAACATTCTCCCAACATCACCCTGATTCAGTCATTCAAAACATGTTTGTTGACCACCTCTGTGTGCCAGGCATCTTCCAGGTCCTGGGGGTACAGCAGTGAACAAAATAGATTTAAAAAATCAAAAGACCTTGCCCTCTCAGAGCTTATGTTCTAGTGAGGGGAGACAGGGTAAACAAAATTAACAAATAAAATACAGAGTGTGTCAAAACGCGGCAAGTGTTAAGCAGAAAAATCAATCAAGAAAGGGGAACAGGGAGCCCTGGGGATGTGAGGGTTCTGATTTTTATATAGGATGATCAGAGAAGACGTCACTGAGATGGTGATGTTGAGAAAAGACTTTAAGGAGGTGAGGGAGGGAGTTATGTGGATAAAGGGATTTCCAGGGAGAAGAAACAGCCAGTACAAAGGTCCTGAGGTAGGGAGCATTGCTTGTTGGAGAAGCCGGGAGGTGGCCACTGTGATTGTATCAGAGTGAGAAGGAGAATGGAGGAGTAGGAGTTGAAAACAGAGATGCAATTTCAGGGCATATCATGGAGAATCTGGTAGGTTATTGTGGGGACATTAATATTTACTGAGTGAGATGGGATCCTGGGAGAGTTCTGAGCAAAAGGGAGATATGATGCTATAGGGGGTGAGGGTGGAAGCAGAGAGATCAGCTAAGATGCTCTTGCAAAATCTAAGCAGGAGATGCTGATGATTTAGACCAGCGTGACAAAACTAGAGGTGTGAGAAGTACTTGGATTCTAGGTTATTTTGAAGGTAGAGCTGACAAGACTTACTGAAAGTTTGGATGTGGAGTGTGACTCCAATGTTTTTACCTTGTAACCTGAAACCTTGCTAAACTCTCTTCTTACTTATTGTAATTTTTTTGTAGATTTATTGGGATTTTCTATGTCACCTGTGAATAGAGATCATTTCTTCGTTTTCAATCCATACACCTTTTATTTCTTTTTCTTGCCTTACTGCACTGGCTAGGAACTTCGATATGATGTTGAAAAGCGCGGGAAGAGTGAAGATCCTTGCCGTGTTCCTGATCTTAGGGGAAAGGCATTCAGTCTTTTACCATTAAATATAATGTTAGCTGTAGGTTTTATGTTTTATTTGTTTATTTATTTATGTGCCCTTTATAAGGTTAAGAAGGTCCCTTCTATACCTAGCTTGCTGAGAGTTTTTTATCATGAATGAAGGTTGGCTTTTGTCAAGTAATTTTTCAGTATCTATTGAAACAATCATATTGTTTTTCTCCTTTAGTCTGTTTATGTGGTCAATTATATTGATTGATTTTGTGAATGTTGAACCAACCTTGCATTCCTGGGATAAACCCCACTTGGTCCTTTTTATATATTCCCCCATTAGATTTACTAATATTTCGTTGAGGGTTTTGTGTGTAAGTTTATGAGTTTCTTTTCTTGTAATATCTTTGTTTGGTTTTTGATATTAGGGTAATGCTGGCCTCATAAAATAAATTACTACAAGATTTTTGACCAGAATACCTGAAAGAATGGAGCTGCCCTTACCGAGATGGGGTTGAACTGAGGGAGGACCAGGTTTGGGGAAAACAGGCAGGAGTTTAATTTTGGACATTTTAAGTTTGAGATACCAATTAGGTGTCCAAGTTGAGAAGTCTGCAATTGGGTATACCACTGTGGAGTTCAGAAGGGAAGTCTGGGTGGAAATATAAATTTAAGCATCATCAACATAATGATGCCATTTGAAGTCGTGAGACTAGATGAGAAGACCATGGGAGTGGGTGTAGATAGAGGAGGGGAGCAGTCTGAATCACCCCAAAACGCTCCCTGGAGCACCCAAAGTCAAGAAGTACAGAAGATGAGGAGGAGCAAGAAATGAGACAGAGTACAAAGAACACCAGGGATGGAGGAGAGGTCTTGGAAGCCAGATAAAGAATGTTTACAGGAAGAGAAGGTGATCACTTTGCCAGTTGCTGCTGGAGTGCTGAGAACATAGCATTGGGTTTACCCACATGGAAGTTATTGGCGACCAAAGTGGTTTGGGTGGCATGGAGGGGACAGGAGCCCGACTGGAGTGGGTATGAGAGGGTATGGGAGGAGAACGAGTGTAGACAATCCTTTCTAGGAATGTTGAGTGAAGGGGGAGAGGGAGGTAGTAAGAAATGGGGCAACCCCTAGACAGGGAAGGTGGGAGAGATTACAGCAGGTTTGCATGCTGATGGGAATAATCCAGAAGAGGGAGAAGTTGTGATGCAGGAGAAGATGGGAGAAAAGCTGGAGCAATGTCCTTGAGTGGGCAAGAATGTTGGGAAAGCTAGGGCGTGAGTAGAAGGGCAACCCTGGGGGAAAGGGAGCGTATTGCGTCTAGATGCAAGTTGGCGGGTAGTGATGGCCACTCTGGGTCATCACTGGCTGGGGACTGGTCTGTGCCACCACTGCCCTCTGAGCCCCATGAGGGCAGAGCTGGGGCTGTCTTTGTCAGTGCCACCTGGCACAGGGCCAGGCACAAGCAGACGCTAGGCAAGTGTTTGTTGAATGAATGAATGCCCTTCACAGCATCAGCCTCTCTGATGCACAGAGTTGTTGAGATGTTTGTGCCCAGCCTCCCCCCAGAGCTGATGGACACTCAGTTCCACATAACACATCACCCTCAGACATGCAGGTTGAGAGGGTCAGACATGCACCAAAATGCTACTTGGCACCCATTCCACAAATATTTGCTAACTCTGTTTCAAGGGGGAGGGCATTCAGGGCAGAAGGACAGTATATGCAAAGGCCCAGAGGCAGGAAAATCCAGGGGGTGTTCCTGGGGCTAGATGAACCATCTGCTGTGCCTGGACTCCCATAGAGGGCCGCTGGCAGGAAGTTCAGCTGAAGACTCAGGCTGGAGCCAGGGTGAGGAGCATGGTTTTTTTCCCAAGGGCCCTGGGGAGTCAAGGCAGGTTCTGAGCAGGAGAGGCAGGGGCAGGTTCATGCTTTAGAAAGAGCCCTCCGGCTGCTGAGTGGACGGTGGAGAAGAGGGGATGGGACTGAGTCTGCCTTGGGCACCTTGTGTCCCCAGCATCACCCAGCAAAGAGTAAGTGTTCCGTAGACACATTTTGAATAAATGTTTGGAGGAAGGAAGGAACAAACACTTGAATTATTGGATTCTTATATCACTGCGAATAAGCCCAAGTCTTTACTGGGGCATTCGAGGCCCTGTATCTGGTCCCCTGTCCACTTCACTTGGCTCCTGCACAACCAGCCACTTCCCTCCGTGCACGCGGGACTCCACGCTGTCCTCCGAGCTGCCAGCCTGTGTGCAAGGGCCTTTGCATTTACTGTTCCACCTGCCTAGAATACTCCTTCCCCAGAACGCATGAGTGTTTTTCTCTTTTGTTCGCTTCTGCATCTACAGTGCCTACCACACTATGCAACGTGCAGTCAGCACAGTAAGTATTTGTGGAATCAATCAATCAATGAATTCTCTGCAGCTCGCCCGGAGAGGTCTGAACATCGTCCTCATCAGTAGAAGCCTGAGCAAGCTGGAGCACGAGGCAAAGGAGATAGGTGAGCGCCCGGGGGCTGGGCCAGGAAAGTTTGGGACAGCGGATGGGGCTAGACCAGAGCTAGGTTGGGGGCGTGGCCAGGGGCGTGGCCAGGGCGGAGGCGGGGCTCTGGCTGCTGCGGGGGCCAGGGAAGGGATGGGGCAGAGGCTTGGGCTGCACAGGGACAGGGGTGGGGTGGAGGCAGATGTGGGACTGTGTTCCAGCTAAGGGCCGGCTCCCACTGTCCCCCCTTCCCAGAGCGGCTTCATGGAAAGATCACACGGATCATCCAGGCCGACTTCACCGGGGGCTTGGAGATCTACGGGGCCATTGAGGCAGGACTGAAGGACCTGGAGATCGGAATACTGGGTGAGTCCCCTTGCCTGCTCTGGGGAGCCATGCCCTCCACTGCCCCATGCTCACCCTGACCGGCGACCCTCTTGTGGTGGCCCTCCCTCTGCCCCCACCTGGTCTCCCTGGGACTGTTGGAGTGACGCAATTTGCCCCCTCTCTTATCAGTGAACAATGTGGGCATGCAATATACACAAGGCTTGAAGAAACTGCTCGACTGTGACAACGTCGCCAAAGTGAGTGAGACCGAGGACAGGGTTAGCCTGCCCAGCATCTCTTTCTCCCACTACTGCCCTCTGTTGGAAAACTCACGCAGTACGCTAGCTTTGTTAGAACAAGGCACTCTGCTGCCTCCGCTGGAAAATTGTTTTTTTTTTGTTAATTAATTAATTAATTAATTTCTCCCAAAGCCCCAGTAGACAGTTGTATGTCATAGCTGCACGTCCTTCTAGTTGCTGTATGTGGGACTCGGCCTCAGCATGGCGGGAGAAGCAGTGCACAGTGCGCACCCGGGATCTGAACCTGGGCCGCCAGCAGCGGAGCGCGTGCACTTAACCGCTAAGCCACGGGGCGGGCCCTGGGAAATTGTTTTAAAAGCTGCAAATCTCTGATGTCTGGGACGTGAAGGCGATCCCCTTCCATGGGGCGCCCTTGTGAAGTGCCCAACCGGTACAACTGTTCAAGTTGAGTCTGCTTCTGCCCTTTCCTGTTCCCTGGTGCTAACTAAGGGGACCCACGTGGGAAAGGGGGACCCACATAGGAAAACCAGTGCCTGCCATTTGCAGCGTGTGGTTTTCCAAATTTTTATTCGGGGTCATTCTTGAACCTATGGGGTTTTTTCTCTTAATCACCTGTACATATAGCCCCATACTGCTTCTGATGAGAGTTACATGGTCCGTTGTACTTCCATTTCAGCTGCCAACCTTTTTTGTTAAATTAATTATTTTCTTCATTTTTTTTTGGTTAAATCAAAGTTATAAAGAGTCAAATAGTTCTACAAGGGTTGTTAAAGAAAACGGCCTACCCCATTCTCATTTCCTATTCTGCAGAGCGGGGTTTCTCAATATTCACCCTACTGACATTTGGGGCTGATGATTCCTTGTCATGGGTGCTGTTCTGCGCATGTAGGATGTTTAGCAGCATCCGTGGTCTCTACCCACTATATGCCAATAGCATCTGCCCTCCAGCTGTGATAACCAAAAATGTCTCCACCTATGCCCAAAAATCCCCTGAGGAGCGAATCCCACCTGGCTGAGGACCACTGCCCTAGAAACTATCACTTTCAATTATTTTAAAATATTTGTGTGTGTGTGTGTGTGTGTGTGTGTGAGGAAGATCAGCCCTGAGCTAACATCCATGCTAATCCTCCTCTTTTTGCTGAGGAAGACTGGCCCTGAGCTAACATCTATTGCCAATCCTCCTTCTTTTTTTTTTCTTTCCCTTTTTTCTCCCCAAAGCCCCAGTAGATAGTTGTATGTCATAGTTGCACATCCTTGTAGTTGCTCTATGTGGGACACCGCCTCAGCATGGCCCAATAAGTAGTGCATCGGTGTGCGCCCGGGATCCGAACCCGGGCCTCCAGTAGCAGAGCCGGTGCATTTAACCGCTAAGCCACGGGGCTGGCCCCCTACTTTCAACTTTACAAAATATATAACTCATACTTTTAAATAATCTGTTTATAGTGTACATCTTGATTTTTCAGTTTTAGCCATTATCTGGTAACTACCTCCAATGGAAGAGGAGGATTATTTCTCATTCATAGACCTAGTGCCGACACCACAAACACACACCCCAGGCCTCCCATCCCCCAGGATAAGATTTCATAGATGTGGCTACAGAATCACATTACTGTGCATATGAAAACACTGTCCACAGATGAGCCATGTAGTGGACTATGATTATTTTTCCTTTCTTTAACAACTTTTTATTTTCCCTGGAGTTAGTCATTGCCTTGATTTTTCATTTGCTTGTGTTGCTATATACTTATCGCTACTTCAACTCTGAACTATAATCCAAAACTATAAAAAAGTTCAAGCAATTTCATCTTCCTGAAGAAATCTCTCCAAGATCCCTCTGTCCTGCTCCTGTCTGGACTGGTTACCCTCTATGCTGCAAATCCTGTGACCTCCCTTTATCTTTCTCCTAGGAAGCCCCTGTTTTCTCTATCATGTTATAGCATTTTTTGGTTTACTTCCTCATTTTGTTGGAGCGTATCCTCCAGTAGCCTCCTGAGAGAGGATGCATGGATGGTAAAATGTTCAGCTCTGTTTTCTATCAGTTATGTGACTTTGGATACATAACTTCATTTGTCTGAGCCTCAGTTTCATATCTATAAAATGGGAATAAATATTTTTGCTGGTCTCACAGAGCTGTTATCATGATGGAATGAAATAATGCACATAAACGTAAGTTGTGTGCTCTGTAAATGTTGGCTATTATTATTAGACAAAACAGAAGATCAGGATGGTTTAAAAATTTTTTATTTTAAACATTATTATTTCAAAAGTAAGGCATATGCTCATTTTATAAAATTTAAAGAGAGGCTAGCTGGGTATTCTGCCTCTGGTATTAGAGGAAGTTGTTTGAGACCAACCCTGCAAATGAGAACGATTAGGAAAACTGGATACAAAGTTTTAAGAATAACTGTTTGGAGACATCATAGAACTAGGAAGGCAATGAAGAATTGTAGCACCAAGATTTGAGGGAGGAGAGAATCCAACAGAGAGGAATTTGACGTTTGGAGCAACATTTCCCTTCAAGGTGGCTGAGAGTTTAAGAAGCCATGCAGAGCTTTCAACATACTGTTGGTGCTCCAACGAATAATGTAATTATTTCAAATTTACAAATTTACAAATTATTTCAAAATTACATTTCAATAATGTAATTTTTCAAAGCTTTGAAAAATATCCCAGGCTTTAGGTTGGTACTCTGAAGAATTATAATCTAGGAGTTATGGTCAAGTAGAATAGACTAAGTTTTACAGGAACTGAAACCGTGTTTCAAATGAACTTGGTCCCGGTTGGGATGAAGATGACTTGACATTTTAGCGCCCCCTAGTTTAGCTGCCTGGAAGCGAAAAAACCAAACATGTCATCGTTAGAGGAAAACGAAGTAGTTCAGAACCTCCAATTAGCAACACAATTTTTTTATATTAAATATCAAGCACTCAATAAAATATAACCGGGGATATTAGGAAAAAATCATGACTGAAAACAGAAGAAATAATAGATCATGTAAATAGGTCCACATGTGACCAAGATAATGGAAATATCAGCATAGATTTTTTAAAAAATAGTGATAAGATTTATATAATATCCAAACAGGAACTCTGGACCTATTAAGCAATAACTCTCCATTCTTCCCTACTCTCAACCCCTGGTAACCTCTCTTCTCCTTTCTGTCTTTACGAATTTGCTGATTCTAGATACTTCATACAAGTGGAATCATAGAATATTTTTCCTTTTGTGTCTGGCTTATTTCAGCGTAATGTTTTCACTTTCATCCATGTTGTAGCAAGGATAAGAACTTCATTCCTTTTCTTTTCTTTCTTTCTTTACTATTTTTTTGTGAGGAAGATTAGCCCTGAGCTAACAACCATTGTCAATCTTCCTCTTTTTGCTGTGGAAGATTGGCTCTGGGCTAACATCCTTGCCCATCTTCCTCTACTTTATATGAGATGCCGCCACAGCGTGGCTTGATGAGCAGTGCACTGGTCTGAGCTGGGGATCCGAACCTGTGAACCCTGGGACCGCCAAATTGGAGTACATGAACTTAACCGCTGTGCCACCAGGCCAGCCCCTATTTTCTTTATTTTTCAATTGTGGCAAATAGACATAACATAAAATTTGCCGTTTTAACTACATTTAAGTGTACAATTCAGTGGCATTTTGTACATTCACATTATTGTGAACCCGTCGCCACCATCCATCTCTAGGACTTTGTCAGTATCCCCTACTGAAATTCTGTACCCATTAAACAATTACTTCCCAGTCCTCCCTATCCCCTGCTGCTGGAAATCACCATTCTACTTTCTGTCTCTATGAATTTGACTACACTAGGTACCTCATCATGTAAGTGGAATCATGTTGTATCTGTCCTTTTGTGCCTGGCTTATTTCATGTAGCATAATATTTTCAAGGTTCATCTCTGTTGTAGCAAGTGTCACAATTTCCTTGCTTTTTAAAGGCTGAATAGTATTCCTTTGTATGTACACACCACATTTTGTTTATCCGTTCATCTGTTGATGGACACTTGGGTTGTTTCCACTTTTTGGCTATTGTGAATAATGCTGCTGTGAACATTGGTGTACAAATATCTGTTTTTGTCCCTGATTTTAGTTCTTTTGGGCATATACCCAGAAGTGGAAATGATGGATGCAAGATTTGTTTGGATATTCAGGGTCCTTTGAGATTCCATATGAATTTTAGGTTGAATTTTACTATTTCTGCAAAAAAAATGCTGTTAGCATTTTGATAGAGATTGCATTGAATCTGTAGATCATTTTGGGTAGTAATGACATGTTAGCAATATTAAGTCTTCCAATCCACGTACATGGGATGCCTTTCCAATTATTTGTCTCTTCTTTAGTATATTTCAGTAATGTTTTGTAGTTTTCAGTATATGAATGAGTCTTTCCTCCTTGGTTAAGTTAATTCCTAAGTGTCTTTATTCATTTTTGTGTGTGTGAGGAAGATCAGCCCTGAGCTAACATCCATGCCAATCCTCCTCTTTTTGCTGAGGAAGACTGGCCCTGGGCTAACATCTGTGCCTATCTTCCTCCACTTTATATGGGACGCCGCCACAACATGGCCTGACAAGTGGTGCCCCGGGATCCGAACCCGGGCCCCCAGCAGCGGAGTGCATACACTTAACCACTTCACCAGGGGGCTGGCCCCTAAGTATGTTTATTCTTTTTGCTGTTATGGTAAATGGAATTGTTTTCATAACTTCCCTTTTGAATTGTTCATTGTTAGTGTAAAGAAACACAACTGATTTTTTTGTGTGTTGATTTTGTATCTTTCTGCTTTGTGAATTCATTTATTATTTCTCACATTTTTTTGTGAAACTTTAGGATTTTCTACATATGAGATCATCTGCAAACAGAGATAACTTTGCTTCTTCCTTTCCAATTTAGATGCCTTTGATTTTTTTTTCTCGCCTAATTGCTCTGGCTAGAACTTCCAATGCTATGCTGAATAGAAATGGTGAAAGCAGGAAATGCTTTCAGTATTTCACC